TAACGTCATCATCTGTCCTACATTGTCATTGCTCAGAGAGACACTTGACTACTTCATTGGTGAAACATGGCTGCGCAAAAAACTCCAATCTTCTTCTCTGCGACCCTTTTCCTTTTTGTTACAGTGTCAATGCATCCTAAGGAAGATGTGCCTTCTCATCCGTCTGCTGCTTTTTATTTCTCCTGTCTGTGGGGATCTGTTAAACTTTAAACCTTACTCTGGGTCTTACATGACAACTTGGACAAAGGCACAGACCTTCTGCAGGAAGTACCACACTGACCTGATCACAATCAGAAATGAACAAGAGAACACATTTTTCAAATCTGGAGGCTGGATCGGATTATATCGAGCTAATACAAATACATGGAAATGGTCCCGAGGAGATGAGATAGCTAGCTTCATCAAGTGGGATAGTTCTCGTAAGTAACATGTTTTAAAGCTCAAGTATTAATCTTAGAATAACACCTGGTGTGAGAGCAAATTATTGATTCTTATTAGATTGTGCAAGATCATATTTGTTGATATTAACATTAGCGTGTTATTTGCTGTTGGGAACAGTAAATAACAGTGTCTCTTTGCTTCTTCTTTCAGAGCCAAGTCAAAATGGAGACTGTGTATATAAGCATGATGGTGTATGGTGGACTCACGGTTGCCATTACAATCATTCTTTCATGTGTTATGATGAGAAACTGGTTTTGGTGAAGGAGAATAAGACGTGGGAGGAGGCATTAAACCACTGCAGGTCTCTGGGTGCAGTGGACACAAATGATCCCAACTCTCCCTACAGGAACCATCGCTACGACCTGGCCACACTGATCACTACTGATGACCACACCTATGCACGGGAGAGAGCACAACAAGCTACCACTGATGAGGTTGGACAGTTTCCTACAGCTTATTCGTGTTGCTGAGAAACTCATACACCATGTTTACAATTGTCTCTCTGTTCAATGTTGTCAGGTGTGGACGGGCCTGTGTAACCTGGCTGGTGAGTGGCTGTGGGTGGGTGGAGGACAGATGCAATATGAAAATATTCCAAGCTGCCCAACTAATGGCTTCTGTGGCGTCCTCGAGAAGAGTGGTACTGCATCCTATGGCATAAGAAACTGTCAGCAGAGAAGGAACTTCTTCTGTTACATAAAGCCATAAAGCCACTTACTCAAGTTCTGTATGTTTGTATATAAGGATTTTCTTTGCAATGGCTCTTACTTAATTTTGACTACTTGTTTAAAGATATTTCTAAATTACTTCAAACTTTTGATCACTGTTATATGCACTATTTTACTGGGAATGTTATACTAGTTACTGCAAGATGTGTGTTTATTATGTCATTACAATTTATTAGAAAGTTTAGCCAACCAGCATTTCATCTGTAAACCTAATACATGTTGTGTAAACAATAAATTGTGTAAAAGTCTTGTGATTCTCTTTAATTGGATTGAGCTTATGACAGGTGATGGATAAATGGTGGACTACAAAAAATATATATTAGTTGTTTAGCGTGTCTGTACTTAGGAAGGTAAAGCTAGTGATCTTTTAATTAGAAGGTTGGTAGTACAGTGGACTGGTTCTAGACAGGCGTATGTGAGGTGGCAGACAGAAATGTAATGGGGGCACATGGTGGCAGATGGACAAAGGATTTTCTACTCACTGCCAAATACAGGTGATATTTTCGCCTCTCCTGTTACTGCCCTAGTATGGGCTCAAATTGTGGTCATAAATATTTTGTACTTGTAAATCAGGATATAAGATAAGATAAAACTTTATTTATCCCTCGGGTGGGTTCCTCTGGGAAATTC